AGAGCTGGGATTAAAGGCGTGTATGGTGGTATTTTATTTGTACTGAAATGTGATTTTCATTGTATGTTAATAAATAAAGTTGCCTGGGGGTCAGAGCTATTAGAGCCATAGCAAGAGCATGGTGGTTTTATTTATTTATTCTATATACAGCATGTATGACTGCAGGCCAGAAGGGGGCACCACATCTCATTACAGATGGTTGTGAGCCACCATGTGGTGCTGGGAATTGAACTCAGGACCTCTGGAAGAGCAGCCAGTGCTCTTAACCTCTGAGCATCTCTCCAGCCCAAGTCACTTTGTTTTCAAAGACAAGCCACGGGATGGCAGATGACTTTTTTTTTTTTTCTGTAAAACTCTTTCAAATCAACATTGAAAGAGGAAAAACTGAATAAAAGAAGGTTTGAATTTACAATGATAGTCAAGTGGCCTTAAACAAATCCGGGAATGCCCCATGAGTTATCAGGGGTACAAATCAAAGCCCCAGTGGGAGCTCACGGCACACACAGCAGATGACTGAAAACTCCAGAGTCTCAAAACAGCCTGCTGGGAAGGCTTCAGAGGAACCAGAGTTATTTAGCTTACTGTTGTTATCATTTGGCGTCGCTGACACAGGATCTTGTGTATCTTAGGCTGGCCCCAAACTTGCTATTGAAGATGAACTTCTCCAGCACCTGCCACCACCTCCAAAATGCTGGGATTACAGGTTTCACCACCACACCAGGGTTCGTACCACGCTGGGGGATGAAACCCTAGACTTCACGCATGCTAGGCAAGCACTCTGCCTAGTACGTTACAACCCCAGCCAACAACTTGTAATCCTCCTGCCTCAGCTTCCCAAGTGCTGGAATTACAGGTGTGTACTACATGTCAAGTTCACATGGGAACCGGAGAAGGTCAAAGGCGCTGTTGGGTCCACATGGTCCGTGGTGTGTCTGGTACATGATGCAGACATAGTTTATGGTAAACATCACTGCTGGTGTCTTTAAGTTCATACTGATATGTCCTACAGCCCCAGTGCTTCCAGGTCCTTGACTGCTCGGAGCCTTTGGTGTTTAGCTTCAGGCGACAAAAATTCATATTCTCACACTTGAACAACTCAGCCGAGTTTCCTAACTCTCGAAAGGTCTGGTGGTGGCCACCCACTCTTTCCCAGAGATCACTATGTAGCCCAGGTTAACCTCGAACTTGTGATGAACCTACTGTATCAGACTTCTAGTTCTGGAACTATACACATGAGACACCACACCTAGTTTGAAAGGGAGTTTTTAATTTTTTTATGTTTATTCTTTATTTTATTTATTTATTTATTTATTTATTTATTTAGTGGGGGTGGTTCGAGACAGGGTTTCTCTATGTAGCTTTGTGCCTTTCCTGGAACACACTTGGTAGCCCAGGCTGGCCTCGAACTCAGAGAGATCCGCCTGGCTCTGCCTCCCGAGTGCTGGGATTAAAGGTGTGTGGCACCACCGCCCGGCAAGGGAGTTTTTAGAAAAGGCGTTTGTTAACCCTGCACATAATTGAAATGAACAACACATGCTTGGTTTAAACCTCTTTATTTGAAAACTTAGGGATTTACTATCTTTCATCGATTCCATGGCCACTTGAAGAAGAGCCCACCTAGGTGAGAGAGGTACCTCTCAGAACAGGAAACAAATGGGACTGCACCATCCCCAGCTGAAATCAGGGGCCCTGTCTTCCTGTACTGAGAAGCCACTATGGAAGCCTTACTGGGTTATCTTCATTATTAAAAAGCAAAACCATAGGCCGGGCGGTGGTGGCGGCGCACGCCTTTAATCCCAGCACTCGGGAGGCAGAGGCAGGCGGATCTCTGTGAGTTCGAGGCCAGCCTGGGCTACCAAGTGAGTTCCGGGAAAGGCGCAAAGCTACACAGAGAAACCCTGTCTCAAAAAACCAAAAAAAAAAAAAAGCAAAACCATAAATTGTTTTACTGGCTCCCACCCCGCACATTCTGTCCACCTCTTCCCTCCTTCCTTCCCAAGCACAACTTAGCAAAAGAAGAGCTTCCTGTGGGCAGGAGCAGTTAGTTTTCAGGCTGGACATTCAGGCTGATTTTTTTCCCCCAAGTACCGGGGATGGAGGGAAGGGCCTGGAGGAGCTGTGTCTCCAGCAGCACAAGGGGTTTGTTGGGTTTTGTTTTGTTTTTAAAGCAGAGAAGCGTTATATGCTAGTGCTTGCACCAGGCCTAAGCAGGAAGCAGGTGAAGCGGGACCCTCAGAGCCGGGGTGAGTTGGAGAGGGTTCATGAGAGCCCACAAGAGCCCACCAGATAGCCGGGCAGTGGTAGCGCACGTCTTTAATCCCAGCACTTGGGAGGCAGAGCCAGGCCCATCTCTGTGAGTTCGAGGCCAGCCTGGTCTACAGAGCGAGATCCAGGACAGGCTCCAAAACTACACAGAGAAACCCTGTTATGAAAAACCAAAAAAAAAAAAAGAGCCCACCAGAGTGGCCTTGCCCACACTTTCAGCTTGGAAGCCAGATCCCTGTCCTCCACACAGGACATAGACAAGACTGCTCTGCTCTCTCCATCCATTCCCAGAGGAGCTGACATCTTTGGGGACAGGTGGGAAGAAGAGGACAGAATGGGGAGAAGGCTCCTGTCAAGGTTAAACCTAGGTTAACTTGAGTCCCGTCTCTACCGCACCAGCCACGTGACTCTGGCAGGTGTGGTAGTGAATTGGAATTTCTCATCTGAGAGTGGAAAAAACGATGACCTCCTAGGCTCATGGAGAGAATGGAATTCTGTGAGATAACTTAGTGGATGCCCTCACAGTGCCTGGGGCTTGATGGTATTTAGATACAGAAGGACAGAAAGACCGCTGGCTGAGGAGTGATGAGAATTTCTTAGTAATTTTCTACAGCTATACTCAAAGGAGGCTTTTTTGTTTTTGTTTGTTTGAGAGATGATTTCTTGCAGCCCTGGGTGAGCTGCAATTTTCTGTGTAGCCAAGGATGACCTTAAACTCTTGATCAGAGCTCCTATGTCTCTATCTCCCTTTAAATGCTGGGATTATAACTGGGAGTCACCGTGCCAAGCCTGAATCACTTAAATATTTTTAACCAGGTGTGGTTGGTGCACACCTTTAATCCCAGCACTCAGGAGGCAGAGACAGGAGGATCTCTGTGGATTCAAGGCCAGCCTGCTCTACATAATGAGTTCCAGGCCAGTCAGGGCTATGTAGAGAGACCCTGTCTCAAAAAAACTTTTGTGTGTGTTTGTGTGTGTTCCGTGTGTGACATACACTCCCCTGTAGGCATACCTGGACCGGAGGAGGACATCAAGTGGCCCGCTCTATTGTCCCCAGTCTTACTCCTTTGCCACAGACTTTTCACTGATCCTGAAGCCAGGCTGGCGATAAGCAGGCCACAATGATTCCTCCATCTCTCCCTCTTCCCAGGGCTGGGGTTAGAGGTGTGTCTCACCACACCTCTGGGAGCTTTTTAGGTGAGTTCTGGGGCTTTGAACTCAGGTTGTACAGCAAGCACTCTTGGCCACTCAGCCAACTTCCTAGATCCCCCAGGAACTTTTCTTTTCAAATTTGTTTGACTTATATTTAATTTGTTTATTGTGTTTGTGGTGCACCACAACACACATCACATGTAGACACGAGAGGGTAGTTTACAGGAACCTGAGGATCGAACTTAGGTGGTCAGACTTGGTTACATTTACCCACTGAGTCATCACATGAGCCTTGGAATCACCTTTTCAAGGTCAATAAGAGTGCAGCTTAGATGTCAATCTTAATTCTAAATGTTTGTCCCTGCTGGTGGACGTTCTTCCGGCCCAAGGCTCAGAGGTCAGCTGGCACAGAGGATCAGTTGTCTCTGTGTGCGTTCACTGTCTCTGCAAGGTGACCAGGAAGGACACAGGAAATGCAGAGTTTAATGGGCCTCAAAAGGCTTGTCCCAGAGGCAAGGGGACTCTCAAGGGAGCTTAGCATCCAAATAAAAGGGAGCCAGAAAATGAGGAGCGGGGTTAGTCCACCTGGGGCAGATGGAAGGGTCTCTTGTGCAGCTACCACACAACCCAGGCATGGGCATCGTACCAATGTCTCATCCTAGAGCTAGCTTCTGCCCCTCACTCTAGAGCTAGCCTCTGTTCCCCACCCTAGAGCTAGCTTCTGCTCCTCACCCTAGAGATAGCCTCTGCCCCTCACCCTAGAGCTAGCTTCTGCCCCTCACTCTAGAGCTAACCTCTGCTCCTCACCCTAGAGCTAGCTAGCCTCTGCTTCCCACCCTAGAGCTAGCCTCTGCTCCTCACCCTAGAGCTAACCTCTGCCCCTCATCCTAGAGCTAGTCTCTGCTCCTCATCCTAGAGCTAGCCTCTGCTCCTCACCCTAGAGATAGCCTCTGCTCCTCACCCTAGAGCTAACCTCCGCCCCTCATCCTAGAGCTAGTCTCTGCTCCTCATCCTAGAGCTAGCCTCTGCTCCTCACCCTAGAGATAGCCTCTGCTCCTTGGGACATCTTCTCCTGACTATTAATGAAGTAGAATTTTTTGGAGAGCACTGTTTATTCTGTAATTTTTTTTTTTAGTTAAATATCTCCATGTGCAGCCAAAGCTGGCCTTGTAATCACAATGTTCCTGCCTCTACTGAGTGCTGAGATGACAAGCATGTGCCACCAAGTCCAGCCTCTTGTAACCTTTGTCCCTTAAGGGGGAAGAGCCATCTAACCAGCCATCATGAGCTGGCTAGTGGTCATCTAGTCCTAGAATAGGTTAGTCATTACCAAGTTGGTTTTGTGCTTAGTTAGTCCAAGTTAGTTTCCTTGCACCTGATATGGGATTGAGGATCTGTTCTGCCAAGTTGTGGATATGACGCTCAAGATGCTCCCAGTGGCAGACCCTGGGTGACATTATCATTAGCACTCCCTGACCCCTGACCAGAACACTCGGATGTCTGTCTGTCTATTTGTTTAGCTGTCTAGCTGTAGCATTTGTGGGGCAACAAACAGACTCACACCAGTATCCCCAGCAGGGTGCTTCTCATCAGGTGACAATGTCCTAAAGAACGTCCTTAGCTCTTTGGTACAGTGGCAGCAGGGATATGGACACAGCTGGGAGGCCAGAGCAGAACATAGTTAAGGATGGCTTCAAGCTGCAGGGGCTATATGAAAGGTGCCTCAGTTTACCCAACCAGAAAGAACTCAGTGAAGCTGCCAGAAGAGTGTGTTTCTGGGTCGTAAAAGCTCTTTGCAGAGGCAGGGATGGCGTGGAGCAGGGTCACCGAGTCTCCACTTGGTTGTCTGCAGGGTTGAAGGTCACAGTCGCAGGCTGCTGGCCACCGTTGCTGTTTGGGTCCAGGGCAGGAGGCACAGGTGGCTTCGGGCTCTTGGGCTCCAGCTCCCGCCTGGTCCTCATTCTCCTGTAAGAGACAATGAGGAATGGGCTCCTTGATGATGGCTCATCAGAAAGGCACATTGTTCAGTTACCACTGTTCCAATAGGGAAGGACCTTTGACACCAGCCTGGCTCACTTCGGAATGTTCTGTTTAACTTTGAACTGCTAAACTTCATTCTGCCCCTGACAATGAACAGAGTCAGAGCAGTGGCCACGTTCAAGACTGAGTGGAGCCTCAAGGGTTACAGCATGATTATGCATGCTAAGTATTTTGCTAGGAATATTTAAGAACATCTTATGTAATTGAGAAGAGAACAGACTTAAAGTATTTACAACCCCAGGACTTCTGAGACTGAAGCAGGAACACCAAGAGTTTAAGGCTAGCCTGGGCTATATAGGAAGACCCTGTCTCAAACAATCTAGTAAAATGTACATCCTATCTTCATTTTATATACCATTAGATTCAATAGCTCACAATAATGACTTCCGATGTCTGTGATATCTCATCCATTGATAGATCCTAATTCCTTAATTTTTTTTCCCCATTTCCAGCTCAGGTATCAGTGTAAGCAGTGTGAGGTGAAGGGGTACCCACCCACATGTCAATCAAAGCTTCAGCAATGACGGACAGAATGACAGGAGACCTGGAATTCAATGCCACCTCCTTGTTTCCAAGAGGCTCACATGGTAACACTCCAGAGACTATAAAAATAACACTGGATGCTACTATTGTTGCTGTTGTTTTTGAAACAGGGGTTTTATATAGTCCAGGCTGGCCTTGAACTCATCATGTAGCTGAGGATAACTTTGTACTTCTGATCCTTCTGCCTTTACCTCTTGAGTGCCACCATACTTATTTATGCAGTGCTGGGGATCAAACCCAGGCCTTCATGTACGCTAGGCAAGTGCTCTACCCACTGGACCACGTCCCCTGTTATTATTACATGTTATGGTGGGAAATTTTCCTTTGAAACCAGATGGGTTGGGTTTGAACCTCAGTTCTGACAAAGAGGGCAGAGCCACCCAGGACAGGTGAGCTAACACTCTGCACCAGGAGTCGGGGAGGAACGTGCAGGAAGGAAGCAGGCAGTTTGGGGCATCCTGTACCTGTTGTACATCTTCAGCAGGATCAGAACCAAGGCGACAATGATGATGACCACCACCACGATGGCAGCCACGATGGCTCCAGAACCTGCAGAGAGGCGGGAGCCGAGAGTGGGTGGCAGCACTTGGCAAACAAAGATGAGTTCCCGGAAACCACATGCGTCTGTGTGCATGATGATCCCAGGGCTCCCACGGGCATCAGGGGCAGAGGCAGGAGGACCCCAGAGGCTTGCAGGCCCCTAGCCTGCTGTGTACTGATGCATGATGGGAGAAAACAACCAAGAGACTCTGTTGCAGGCCAGGTAGAAGGGCAGGACCGATGCTAAGTGTGTATTCTGACGCCCACATATGTGTCATGGCACTCCCATGCCAACATGAACACACATGCACACACACACACACACACACTAAAGTGAATGAATTAAAATAAGAGAGAGCAGAGATGGTGAAGCCTTGAGCAGACATGCAGACTGGGGAGGCCCCCAGTGGGCACTTGTCATGAATGATTTGAATATAAAGTGTCCCCCCAAATCTCACATACATGGTTTGGTCCCCAGCTGATGGGCTGCATTACTGATCATCGACTGTAACATGAGGACCTCAAACTAATCAGTAGATTAAACCACTGGATTTGTAGTTTGATGGCATTATTGAGAGACGACAGAAACTGTGTGAGGGAGGGGCCTGGCGGAAGGAAGTAGGTCACTAGGGGTCTTTGACGGTCGTCTTGCCATGTTCCCACTCTCTTTCTCTGCCTCCCAGCCGTCATGAGTGGGCAGCTCACCATGTCCTCTCTGCCTGACACTATCTCAGCTCAGGCCCACAGTGGTGGGGCCAAGCCACCAGGACTGAGACCTGAGCCCACGCAGACCTTTCCTCCCTTTAAGTTGCTTTGTTTTCAGATGTTCTGGAACAGCAATAAGGAACTGAGTCCCATGTAGCCCAGGATGGCCTAGAACTCCCGAGTCTCCTCCTCTGTCTCTCAAGGGCTGGAACTGCAGGGGTATGGCACACTACACCTGCCTGAGTCCTCTTATCAGCCCCGGCACAGCTCTCAACTTCTGTGGAACGGATCAGCAAGACTCCTTCCCCCCCTTTTGATAACATGCAATTTATGTGATTTGGGAATAATTTTTAAAATATAAAAATAAGCAAACCATGAGAAAGGATGAGTCACTGGTTGTCTGCACCTAGGCATTCATCTGTGCAGCCACGTATGTGCATATTAAAGCCTGTTCAGGCCGGGCGGTGGTGGCGCACACCTTTAATCCCAGCACTTGAGAGGACGAGCCAGGCCCATCTCTGTGAGTTCGAGGCCAGCCTGGTCTACAGAGCAAGTTCCAGGACAGGCTCCAAAAGCTACACAGAGAAACTCCGTCTTGAAAAACCAAAACCAAAACCAAAACAAAACAAAGCCTGTTCAGATTTTAGGAATAGAGGCTGGAGAGAGAGAAGGCCCAACAGTTAACAGCACTGGCTGCTCTTGCACATAACCCAAGGTCAGTTCCCCACACAATGGCTTACAAACTCCAGTACCTGGAGGACCTGATGCCCTCTTCTGGCATTCTTGGGCACTGCACACTCATGATACACACACACACACACACACACACACACACACACACACACACACAGGCAAAATACTCACATACATAAAACAAGAACAAACAAATCTTTAAAAACATCAGTTCTACATCTGAAACAGCTATCCTAAGGAAATATTCCTACATATGGAAACACAGGCAATTGTTAAAAAGACACCTACGTATCCAGCTGTGGTGGTGCATGCCTGGAATTGCATCACTCAAGGTAGAGGCAAAAGGATCAGGAGTTCAAGGTCATCTTCAACTACATAGAAAGTTGAAGGCCAGTCTAAACTACATCTCCCCTGTCTCAAAAGCAGATTGAGCAAAATAAGAGTGCTGGAGAGATGGCTGAGCCAGCTAAGAGTGCATACTCTTCCTGCAAAGGACCCAGTTTTGGTTCTCGGCGCCCACATCACATGGCTCACAACCTGTAACTCCAGTTCCAGAGGATCTGGTACACAAACATGCATACTCTCTACACACATCAATCTTTAAAAAACAAAACCAGCCAGATTGCATGTTATCTTACGGTATTATCACGTTATCTCTCCATGCTTTTACCTATTCTCATGGTTTTGATGGTTGAACATTACTCGTGTTTGGCTACACCATGATTTGTTCACCAAATCCCTGGTGAGATTGTTTATGTTTTCAATCTTTTGCTCTTATAAACAAAGCTAGTATGCAAGTCCTTGTAGCTCACTATGTCAGAGTCTAATTTCAATACATTGTCAATGGCAAATTCTAACTTCAGGACTGAGAACAACATCAGAGTTTTGAAAACCTCAAGAACCATAAATATGCCCGTGCTTGATGCCAACTTATCACTTCAGAGGGAATTTCATATTTAGGGAATAATCAATCCCCAATGCTGGAAGACTGTTTGAATGAGAACGTCTGTTTACAGGATTATTGACACACTCAGTGATTTAATAAGGCATGGTAGACTAGTCCATAAAATACTATGAAATGCTTTCAGTGATGCTTTTGAAAGTGTGGATGACATAGGAAGACTTAAGACCATCTCAGGTCTGGAGACTAGAATAAGACACTGTGCGACACTAGCATACGTGTGTGGAAACTCAAGGTTCAGCTAAAGAACCCAGACGGGACTAGGGAGATGGCTCAGTCGTTAAAAGCACGGGCTGCTCTGGCAGAGGACCCAGGTTCCATTCCCAGCATTCCTAGCATCTGTAACTCCAGTTCTTGGGTTTCTAACACCCTCTTCTGGCCTCCACGGGAACTACACACACAGTGCACTTACCCACATGCGGGCAAACACTGATACATGTATAAAAAAAATCAGATAAAAAAGCCAGATAAAAAAGAATACACATGACTGGTTCTCTTTCCATTCACACAAAATTCAAAACCATATAGAACTAATCAGTATGTCAGTATTTGGTGGGCTCTTAGGGTACATGACCATGGAGTCATTGGTATTCTCTGTTTCCTGTTTCCTGAGTGCTGGTGACACACGTGTGCATTTTGTGAAAAGTTACCCAATGTTACACTTACAATTTGTGCACTTTTTAATGCCTTTACAAAGATTTGCTAATATAAAGAATAAATGGCCCAGGCCTGTATCCCCAGCTACTCCGGAGGCTGCATCAGGAGGATTGCAAGTTCCATCCTAGCCCGGGCTACCTATGGAGACCTTATCTCAAACACAGAATCATTCCCATCTGGCTTTCGGTCATTCCCCTCCTGTGGCTCCCTTCAGGACCATTTGAGACATATTGAGCTGCTTCTAAATGAACACCTATCCTAGCAAGGATCAGAACAAAGGGGCATGTGTGGGCAAGGGGAACTGGTGACCCTATCCTGAAACCACCACCTCTGGGTCTCTATGGAAGGGATGCATCCTGCCTTCCATCTAGTCATCTGCAGGCTCCAAACCTCAAGTTGCCTCCCCCCGCGCCCCCCCCCCCCCCCCCCGCCCCAGTGTAGAAACTGTACCTACTCCTGGGGACACCCGAACCATATGCAGAGTGGACAAGACATTGGCTGAAACCTCTGTAAGGGACCCACACTCCTTACACAACTTTTGTGTCTGCTTTTCACATTTTACAGGATATGCCGGGTAGTCTGTGTCAACCTGACACAGACAGATTGGCCTGTGGACCTGGGTCTGCAGGGCATTTTCTCAGTTCCTGACTGATGCGGGAGGTCCTGGGTTGTATCAGAATCCAGGCTGAGAAAGCCATGGGAGCAAGTCAGTACGCAGTACGCCTCCACTGTTCCTGCCTCGGATTTCCCTGATGATGGGCTGTGAGCTGTGAGATAAAATAAACCCTTTCCTCTCCAAGTTGCTTTAGTGACATACATGCAGCAGTGGAAAAGCAATCTAGTGTACAGTCTCAGGCAGCCCAGGCTGGCCTCAAGCATTGTTATTAGCGGAGGATAACCTTGAACTCCCGATCTTCCTGTTTCCACAGCAACAGTGATGGGGTCATGTATATGCGACACCACACCCAGTTCATCCAGCGCTGGGAATCGAACCCAGGGCCTCATGCCTGCTAGGTAAGCCCTCTGCCAACTGAGCTACATACTGGGCCTGATTTTCTGAAGAGCTGTCATCCACTTTTCTTATCCTGGGAACCCCTGGTTCTTGGTAAACACTTCCCAGGACTGACCTGTTCCCACCTTCATTCATTTGCTCTGTGAGTTCGAGGCCAGCCTGGTCTACAGAGTGAGTTCCAAAACAGCCAGGACTGTTATATGGAGAAACCCTGTCTCAGAAAACAAACAACAAACAAACAAACGAAGTCGTATGTGATAGATGCTCTTTAATGCTTTTGTTATGGTAGCCAAAGCAGGGTCTCACTCTGTAGCTCTGGCTGGCCTTTGAATTCACAGAGATTCTCCTGCCTCTGCCTGGTGCTGGAATTAAAGGTGTGCTCCACCACTCATAGTCAGTAGTTACTTTTCAAGGGGACCTATTTCAATATCATGAAAGAGATTCACACTTCCATCACGCCCTAGACTCCAGGATTTGCTGGAGAGGAGTCGGGAGGAGGAGCAGAGGTCCGAGGTCACAATGCTTGTCACAGTGCTTGTCGGGTACTCAATGCACATCTACAGGAGCCAGGACTTCCGGGACTCGTTTGAGTCTTCACAACACCTCCTGTGGGGTCCCCATAGATATTCCCCATCTTACAGGCAAGGAAACTGAGGCCCAGGGCAAAGAAATCATGCCTGAGGTTGGCAAGTGGTGGGACCAGGAAGCTGACCCTGAAGCTGGCCCTGGCAACCTTCCCCCAAGTCCACCTTACTCTTATACAGGAAGTCTTCTCCTCTGGTCATGTTCAGCGAGAAGACAGCGTCCCCCAAAGTGGTGGCTGTGGTCATCTTGATCCTGTTGAGAACAAAGGAGAAATTTTGCTTTAAAACCAGGGTTAGTCTCACCATGTCTATATGATGCCTCTTTTGCTCTTTGCCTGGATGATTCTAGAATCCTCAAGCATGCAGTTTCTTTTGGCAGCAAGTAAAAATAAGGCCCATTCCTAGAAACTGTGTGTGTATAAAAACAGTACCCCAGAATTGTAAGGAACTAACTTACTTCCCTCCTCCTCCCTCCCTTCCTCCCTCCTTCCCTCCCTTCCGACAGGGTCTCATATAGCCCAGGCAGACCCCTAACTCCATATATAGCTGAGGATGACCTTGAACTCCATCTCCCTAGTGCCGGGATCATAGGTGTGTTCCACCATACTCAGCAAAGAACTTAGAATGTGGTTTTCCTCCTTAAATTATTTTATTTATTTATTTATTTGGTTTTTCTTTTTTCTTTTTTCTTTTTTTTTGGTTTTTCGAGACAGGGTTTCTCTGTGTAGCTTTGCGCCTTTCCTGGAACTCGCTTTGGAGACCAGGCTGGCCTCGAACTCACAGAGATCCGTCTGCCTCTGCCTCCCAAGTGCTGGGATTAAAGGCGTGCGCCGCCGCCGCCGCCGCCGCCGCCGCCGCCGCCGCCGCCGCCGCCGCCGCCACGCCACCACCACCAACACCCGGCCCTTTTATTTGTTTTTTCAAGACAGGGTTTCTCTGTGTAGTTTTGGTGCCTGTCCTGGATCTTGCTCTGTAGACCAGGCTAGCCCCGAACTCACAGAGATCCGCCTGGCTCTGCCTCCTGAGTGCTGGGATCAAAGGTGTGCACCACCATGGTCCAGCTAAATTATTTTTATTTTTATTTATTTAGATTTATTTTATTTTGTGGATATGAGTACCTTTGCCTCATGTATGTATGGACATCACATGCATGCCTGGTGCGGATGGCAGTCAGAAGAGGGTGTCAGACCTCCCGGAACTGACATTACAGATGGCTGTGAGGCACCATGTGGGTGCTGGGAACAGAACCATGTTTTCTTGAAGAACAGCCGGGGCTCTTAACCACTGGGCCATCTCTCCAGACCCAGAACTTGTTTTCTCAAAGCAGTTTTGTACTGATACCAGTACAAACTCTGCTGGGCTGCTAAGACATGAACCTGCCATCTTCTCACATAGCTCTGTGCTGGCTGTCTCAGGCATCAGCCTCCTACTCTCTACTGTAAGCCTCCCCAAGGACCCCCGGCTCCACTCTCCCAGCTCTAATGGAAACATGGGTGAGTGTCTGCCTGGACAAGAGGGAGGCCATCTGTCCTCAGCTGGAGGCTCTGTCAGCTCTGGCCATAAGAAGGCTCCTGGTGGCCGGCCATGTTCATCTATAGGACAGGCTCTGCCTTCACATTCTCTGCCCCACTCCAGGTTCAGGGTCCCACCTGTTGCCCTGGTTCTTGCGATCTTCAGGGCATCCTATGGCTCAGTGCCCACTCCTTGAAACCTACAGGGCTCTGCCTGACCTCGCTTGTATAATCAGTCTTCCGCCCTGGGCTTCTGGTCACCTGATTCCCTTAGACAGGCTAAGGTGAGCCTCATGCTCCCCAGCCTCAAGCCAGACACCCTTCCCAGATGACTCCCACCCAGACTGAGTTAAGGAGGTTGTTTTCTTCCTCCTCACTGCCACCATTAGCCAGAAAGCAGGGCTAGTGTCTGTGGCTTGGCTTTGCATGCTCCCTGGCAGCCCTTGAAGATACAGCCATGTCTGGTTCTTTTTCAGATCTGTCCCCCAGACAAACCACCATCTCCCCCTTGCCAGCGGGAGGGCTGTGGTAAGGGACAGAATTCCTCTCAGCTTTCGCTTGTCTATGAAATAAAGGGGCTCGTCCTAAGGGAGCTGAGGGTTAGGGGTGTAAATAGTACTTTTTGTTTTTTGAGATGGTGTCTCATGTATTCCAGGTTGACCTCGAACTCACAATGTAACTAAGGATGAGCATGATCTAACTCTCCTGCCTGCATGTCTCCAGTGCTGGATTATAGGTGTGTGCCCTCACACCTGGTTTATGTGGTGCTGAGGATTGAACACAGGGCTTCATGCTTGCTAGGGAAGCACTCTGCCGACTGGGTGACATCTCAAGTCTAAAAAGGGCTAGTCAGAGTTCAGTGACTTTAATCATAGTGCCAGAGAGATGCCTGCAGGAGGACCAGGATTTCAAGGCCAGCCTCGGCTACAAAGGGAGTTGAAGCTAGCCCAGGATAAGTAAGATACTATTATATATATAATAATATAATATATATAATTATATATATATATATATATATATATATATATATATATATATATATATATATATATAAAAGGCAAGGATGAGAACTTGGGATGGAGGACTCCCTGTCTCCCCCTTGCTTTCTTTCCCATCACACAAGGCAGAGGTACTCAGATGCATCTGCCTCAGCCTGTTTCTGGCCCCACCACTTCCAATCCGGGACGCCACAGAAAACAGGGTTTCCCTTTCCATGGCTTCCAACCAGGGCCCCGAGGCTCAGGGCTGTGGAGCTCCCTCTCCTGTTCCTTTAGCCCAAAAGCTGCAGAGCAGCGCATGAACCTGACCTTGCCAACTGCAAAGTCTGCCTTCTTCCCGCCTTCCCCCTGCCCTCAGATGCACCTGGTGGGGGCTGCAGCCAGTCACCGCAGTAATACACAGATGCACACACACACACACACACACACACACACACCCCCACTCATACCCTTATACCGGCTCACACCCACTCCCGCATATTCCCATATACACACATACATACGCACTATGCACACATAAACACACACACACACATATACACATACCCTCATACCTATTCACAGTCAGTCACAAATTCAAACACACACACACATATACACACACATACACATGTGCACACACACACACACACACACACACACACACACACACACTGACCAGTGAACAGCCTCCCAAGGACACAGGACACAGGCTCCTCCTCAGGTCCGTCTGGGTTCACCTCCTGGGTGCTGGGTTCCAGGTGCCAGCGGGCCAGTTACTTCTCTTTCAAGAACAGTGTGCAACCCGAGAGCTGATCTCGCCTCACCCCGGCAGCGAGGGCTCTCAATGGCATCTCTGTTCCTGCCACATTACAGAAGGTGGGAGGAAGGCGGTGAACACTGACGGCCAAGGAGGTGGATGTTTTCATGTGTGGGGACCCCAGCAGCTGCAGTTAACCAAGTCAGGCCCAAGACAGGGGGGAGGGGGAGGGGAGGACGGACACGGGGACAGGGACGGAGGACGGGGGACGGGACACTGAGCCCTGTGTGTGCCTGTGGCCGTGGGATGTCGGGACACTCTAGGGAAGGCAAGGCTGTTTCTCAGAGAGTGAGACCGACTCACAGCGCAGTGTGAGCATGGCCCGTGCTTCACAGGCGAGACCCCATTCCATCCTCATCTTCCTTTTGGAAAGGAATAAGTGGCCACTGTGCCCGCTGAACCGACAAGGCACCAGAAGCCCAGAGCAGACAGGAGCCCCACCTAACGTAGGCGCTAACCAAAGCTACAGTCGGCTGTGGGTGGGGGTCTGGGACGGCACAGCCCCATCTCCGTGAACTCGCCTGACCCTGCTTCCCAGAGAACACACACAGAAGAGATGGCCGGCAGCAGTGTTGGGCGAAGGAAGGTTCCGCCCACAGAGCAGAGAATTGCCCTGACCTTTGACCCCGCCCCTTACTGTGCGCCGCAGTCGCCCTGGCCACACTGGGGACCTCTGCCTCAGCCCAGCTTTAGGCACACTCACAGACTCCACTATTGCCCCCTCCCTTCGTTAACAAACCGCCCTGTGTGGGAGCTGTGCTGGGAAGTGTCGGAGGGTCAGGACTGTTTGCTCATCCCTCTCCCTGGGGTGGGAGAGCTGTTATCAGGAAGAATGCTGCCCCCCACCAACTCCTCAAGACAACATCTCCCCTCTTTCTCTGGGCTTCCAAGCCCCTCCCTGAATAAGACAAGAAAAACAAATTCCCAGCAGAAAAAAGCCACAAATGAGCAACTGCAGCCCAGAGTTATGGTAACCCATGAAAGCCGTCCATCTATGACGGGGTTGGGACGTAGCCCCGCCGGGAATGTTCTCGCCTAACATGTATGAAGCAGCGTCGGGTTCAATCCCCAACACTGCATAAACTGTGTGCACACCTGGAAGATGGAGCAAGGGGATCCGAAATTAAAGATCATCGTTGGCTACACATCAAGTTTGAGAACGGCCTTGGCTACATGAGAACCCTCTCAAAAAATGTTTTTTAAATTAAAAAAATGAAATAGGGGTTGGCAAGATGGCTCAGCAGGTAAAGGCACTTGCTGCCAAGCCTGATGATCTGAGTTCAGTCCCCGGGACCCCCATGGTAGATGGAGAGAGGCAGCTTCTAGAAGTTGTCCCCTAGCCTCTACACATGCACCATCAACGCACACACACAAAGTAAATGATTCATTGAAAAACTAAATAAGATTAAAGAAAGCCCCGACGTTCCGAAACATTGGGGCTGATGCAAGCTGCAGACAACTGGCCTTCATGTCGGCACAGTGCGGTTTTCACCCACTGGCACTGTTCCCTTCTGTCTTTTCCACGTAACAACGCTGTCAGGTTTAAGAACTCTGCTCTGTGTGAAAGATTCAACTGCTAGGTCAGTGGATAGCAGCGTGGTAATTCCACCTCTGTCCAGCAGGTGGCGATACAGCGAGCTGTAGGTTAGACTGTAGAACTAAGGATTTTCTGTCTAAGGATTTTCTGCCCTGGAAAACAGCAATTCTATGGTCTTCGACAGTTTTCTTCTCTGGGTTAAATATCTTCCATTTCAACAATCCTTAAGGTGGGATAGGGGAGCAGGCAATGTTTACAATGTGCTGGTATTGAAGGTATGTTCCCTCACACTCGGCTCAGAACAGCATTTTTTAGTCTCAGATGGGTACCTGAATTCTGTCATTATTCCCTGGACCTCCTTACCCAGTGTCTTTCACCTGTTGCTTTTTGGACTGTTACAATAGAGCTTTTCTGTAGCCTTGTTGTAGATGGGAAAATGTAGCTGGGTGTGGTAGCACACCCCAGAATCCCAGCACTCGGGAGGACCAGGAGTTCGAGGCCAGCCTAGGGTGCAGAAGCGGGGGCTGGGGTGTAGCTCAATTGGCAGAGTGCTTCCTTGGCATGCCCAAAGCCCTGGGTCGGACACCCCACACTGCAAAGCTGGTTACAGGCACACCTGTAATCCCAGTGCTCTGGGAGGCAGAAATAGAGGCAGGGGAATCATCAGGAGACAGGTCGCATGCCCCGGGTGAGATGTCTGCCTGAGGGGAAGGAAGAGGAATCCACTCTCTCTGGACTGGAAGTTGACTGACCTGCTGGAGTTTGGTGGCTGTGCTACACTGGAAACCAAGCTCCCCTCAAAAGCCAACGGAGCAGAATCCCCTGCTACATCAACAGCCCCCAATGCCTCCTCATCCCCACACCTTCTCCAGGTGAGAGAACTCCAGGAGGCAGCTGCTAGTCTGAATACTCTGGAGCCCGCTGCCGGCTCCTTTACAAACGGGGAAACTGAGGACCGAGAGAGCCTCAGGGCGCTCTCTGAGGAGCAGCTCGTGGCTGTGTCTTTCTGACAGTGCAGAGCAGGGCCGAGAAGAACACGGCACAAAGTAAGCAGCTGGTGACCCACAGGTGACACCCCAGCCTGCATGTCCCCCACCTCAGTTTCCCTTTAGTGCCCCGGTGCCACGACGGTACTGTTCCCTGCTCCTAAAGCACCCAGGGTTCGGAGTCACTTCCAGTCACTCACTGAAAGCAAGATGCAGGCGGGATGGCTCAGCAGGTAAGAGCCTGAGAGCCCAAGTTCGAATCCCGGGGACTCATAGTGGAAAGAGAGAACCCACTCCCAGAGTCTTCCTCTCTGTCAGTCAGTCGGTTGGTCTCTCTCTCTCTCTGTCTCACTCTCTCTCTCACATGCACACACACATGCACATATGGTGGCACACATGTGCCCACATGTGCACACACATACATTATACATAATAATAATAACAATAATAATAATAATGCCCCCCATAGGCACTTATGTGTTGGTGTGCATGGAAGACAGAGCTTAACCTTGGGTCTCATTCCTCAAGTGCCATCCACCTATTTAATGAGACAGGGTTACTTGTTGGCCTGAAGTTCACACGTAGGCTAGAGTGGCTGGCCAGTGAGCCCTAGGGGCCCTCTTGTCTCTGACTGGCTGGCTATGGGGTTATAATCATGCCCTATTATGCTCCCCGCTTTTTATGTGGGTGTGGGGGGAGGGGTCAAACTCAGGCCCTCATGCTTGTGTGGCAAGCACTGTACTGACTGAGCCATCTCTCTGGCCCCCTTGATTGTTTTTAGATTTATTTATTGTATTTTATGTGTGTGAGACTTTTGGCTGTATGCTGATGCACCACGTGCTAGCTGGTGCCCACAGAGGTCAGAAGCGGGCATCAGATCTCCTGGAGTTGGAAATGTGGATGGTTGGGAGCCACCATGTGGGTGCTGTAACCAAACCCGGGTCCTCTGAAAGAGCAGCCAGTGCTCTTAACCACTGAGCCACCTCTCCAGCCTGTTTTTGTTTGGTTTAAGAAGCATGGCTTGCTGGGAGGGGTAGAGCACTATAATAACCCAGTTACTCTAGAGACTGAAGAAGGGTTGCTACAAGTTGGAGTCCACCCTGGTCTTAATGTGTAACCCAGGCTGGCTCTAAATTCCACCCCCTACCTCGGCTTCTCCAGCGCAGGGGTTTCAGACCTGTGCACTGGGTACGGTGTGATCTGGATTTGGGTTTCTGCCTCTCCTGTCTTTCCTGAGGACACGGCAGGCTCTATGTGCTTGCTGTGGATGTGGATGGCTTATGTCGAGAAAAGATCTCTGGACCAGTGGTTCTCAGCCTCGTGACTCCTTTGTGATTGAATGACTCTTTCACAGGGTCACATATCAGATAGCCTGCATATCAGATATTTACCTGATGATTCATAACAGCAAAATTAGTTATGAAGTAGCAACTAAAATAATGTTATGGTTGGGGTCACCACAGCATGAGGAACTGTGTTAAAGGGTCGCAACGTTAGGAAGGTTGAGAACCCCTGCTTTGGAGCATCTGTGTGGAAGGAGGGAGAGCCAGGGACCCAGTGCTCTATTATCTAGGCAGGCCACTCTTTCTGGGAGCCCACTTGTCCTGATGTGTGGTCTCACGGCTGCGCCTGTTCATGGGGCCATGGTGGAGACCCTGGTAGTTGGATGGTTGGCCTGGGAGGGAGAAGTCCTGGATTAAAACCTTACCTTTGTTGCCCACTTGCTGTGGGACTGTGCCAAAGTCACTTGCTCTGTCTAGAATGCAGTTTTCTCTCCAGGGGAACGGCCAGCCGGGGCCCAGTGACCTTCTTCCTCTCAGCCTTCTACCTTAAGACTTCAGGCTTCCTGAGTGGTTCAGGACGTGGCCCCTCACCCTCCTCAAGCTGGCCGGCCTCCCACACCCTCCATTCCAGAAAGAGCACACCCCCTGTTTCCTGCCCGAGTCAGGACCTGGCAGGTCTGGGCTGCAGAGAGGACAAGAGAGAGGCCAATCCCAGCCTCTGAAGCTGCCCGCGGTGAGCGCTGGATGGCTGCCAGTCGCAATAGGCCTCAAGATACAGAGGGGCATTTGTCCGGGGACACACAGCCTTGTGTAAACCTGCGCTCTGGCTTTGGCAAGGCACCTCCTTCCCTCCACACCCTCCCGGGCTGTGGTAGCAGCTCCTGCTTGGCTGTGAGGTGGGATAGGAATGCTGGGCAGAACCCTCTGTACGGCGGGAGCTGGGCAAGAGAAGGGGTGGGAAGAAAGGAGGGGCATGATTTGTGTAGGGTGCAGCGGTGAGGGTCACCGTGGGGGAGAGGCGGGGAACAGCGGAAGATAGGAAATGCCCTGCATGGCCAGGGTTGGTCAAGAAGGCGAAGGACTGGTTCTAGACTTCCCCTCTGGCTAGATAAGAGACTAAGGGCACAGAATCCCCTTCTCTTCCAGACTCAGTTTCCTCGGCTGTAAAATGGGGTGATTGCCCTAACCTTGGCCTGAGAGGACCCCATTAAATAAAGTGATTTGTGAACACCTGGGGGAGGGGTATAATAAAGATGACCAAGTCTGGACCCAGACAGAATTAGATATAAATGCTGCCTGTATGGGGATGCAACTCAGCTGGTAGAGTGTTTGCCCAGCATGTACAAGGCTATGGATGTGATCCCCAGGCCAGCATAAACTGGGCATGATGGTGCACACCTGTAACCCCAACAGGAGGTGGAAGTATAAGGGGCAGGTGTTGTGGAATATTATTTTAAGATGTGTTACATTTGTTTATGCTGTGGAGTATTTGTTTGATGATACAAAGATGTGTTGCATTCTTTTATGTTGCATTTGTTTAACTCTGTGAAGCTGTGTTTCTTTGCCTGTCTAAAACACCTGATGGTCTAATAAAGTGCTGAATGGCCAATAGCAAGGCAGGAGAAAGGATAGGCGGAGCTGGCATGTAGAGAGAATAAATGGAGTAAGAGTGAAAGTAAGATATACAGAAGTAAAAGGTAAAAGCCCAGAGGCAAAAGGTAGACAGGATAATTTAAGTTAAGGAAAGCTGGCTAGAAACAAGCCAAGCTAAGGCCGGGCATTCATAAGAAAGCCTCCATGTGATTTATTTGGGAGCTGGGGGTGGCCCCTCAGAGAGCCAAAAGAGTAAAAAACAACCAACTAACTACATTTTGGTGTTCAAACGTGGGGCTAGAGTAAACAAACAAACAAACAAACAAGCAAACAAAAAACCAAACAAAAAACCAAACCCAGCAACAGGCGGGAGTTAAAGACTGTCTCAGCTACAGAGCAGGCTTGAGGTCAGCCTGGCTATATGAGACCCCATCTCAACAAAAAGAGTGCTAGTTCCTTGTCTTGTTGCTGTGACACAATTCTTGACAAAGCCAACTTAAGGAAGGGGATGGTGGGGGAGGATGGACGGTGGCTGCTGGTACTCAGATGGCATTTCCATTGTTATCCCGGTGGTGCTGCTGGTTACACTTAGGATGGGGGTCTCAGTTTAATTATCCCAGTCTAGGAATGTCCTCACAGACAGGCCAAGAGACTTGTTTCTTGAGTGACTCGGTGTCCTGTCAAGATGACTCTCTGTAGTGCCCATCACACCTCCAAAGACTTTTTATTTACTAATATGGGGGCTGGGGAGGCACATTTTCTTCCACTTTAAAAAAGTATCCCCCCCCCCAATTTTATTTTATTTTTCCTTTTTGAGACAAAGTCTCACTTTGTAGCCCTGGTGGGCCTGAAATTCACAATGCCCCTCCCCTAGCCTCCTAAGTGTTGGGGTTCCAGGTCTGACTCCTCACACTTACCCCTCCCCACCCCTGACTTTAAAATAAGCTATGATCTCATTGGAGGACCTTCAGAATATTGTGGGCATTCCTACTGTGCCAAGTGGCCTTCACATGGGTTCAGGGTTCTCTAAGTGCCAGTCTGTCTGGGCATCCTCTCCCAGATCTGCTGGACCCCATGTCTTCACCTCTGAGGCTCCTCCTCAGGGTCCTGGGACTTGAGGCCTTGCTCTCGGCAGAGCTGCGCTCAGGGCCCTGGTTGGTGACAAATGTCCTCCTTTCTGTGTGGTACCCATTTTGTTTGTTCCCGAGGCTGCATACATTCTGTTTTTAGAGGCTGATGGGGTCCCAGGAATCTCAGGTGTGGAGGAGACATCCTAGGTGGCGGGGTGGTGTGTGTGTGTGTGTGTGTGTGTGTGTGAGCACTCATAGCTTTAACTGCTCCTCCCAGCTCCTTGATGCCCGTGCTGGAGGTCTCACACTCACGTGGGTCTGGAGGTCTCACACTCACATCAGTCTGGAGGTCTCACACTCACGTGGGTCTGGAGGTCTCACACTCACATCAGTCTGGAGGTCTCACACTCACATCAGTCTGGAGGTCTCACACTCACGTGGGTCTGAAGCCCCATCATACCCCTTTCCACTTTTCACCAAGAAAACTTAGGTTCAACAAGGCTCAGTAACTCATCCTGTTCATGGGTATCAGAGCAGGATCCAGTCCCCACCCCGTACTTCCCAACAACCCCACCGTCTCCCTCAGCATGCCGAGGGAGTGTGGAAAATAGTCTGAGGTGTGCAGAGCACTGGGCAAGTGTATTGGGCACAGGAGAGGCTGGGAAGATGCCCTGGCTGTGCCGGGGTGCTGAGTGGGAGACGTGCCCTGTCACTGCGTGTCTCTGGGAACTGTGTGTCCCTGGTTGGCCCCAAGGGTGGGGGAACCTTGGCCAGGAGGTGCTCACAGGCTAAACAGGCTAATGGGGACTTCGTTCCTCATCATGAGGCCCAGAGTCACATCTGTTTACTGCACACCACAGAGCTGCAGAGCCGGGGAATGGGCTCTCTCCGTTGGGGACCTTTGAGTGGATTCGAGGGAGCAGCTCAGTCTCAGAGGATGAAGGGGCGGGAAGCAGGAGGTCCTGGGTCCAAAGTTTACCTTAGGGGCTTACCTCCTCCTCCAGATCACACCCAGCTCTTCTGCTGACCCAGTAGACATCATTTTGTTAGGCAGAGAGAGGAAGAGATGCCTGGCGGGGCTCAACTGTGGGAATGCAGACTGGATTGGGGAGGGCTAGACACTCAGGAAGGGGAAGGAGGTAGCCTGGGCTAATTCTGGACAGTACAAAAGGAGAGGTAACTGAGCACCAGTATTTGTCACTTTGTGCTTCCTGGCTGTGGATGTAATGTGACCAGCCTCCTCAGAGTCCTGCCACCATGACCTCCACACAGTGAGGGACTGCACTCTTGAACTGGGAGCCAAAATAAGCCCTTTCCCCTGAAGCTGCCCTTTTTTTTTTTTTTTTTTTTGAGACAGGGTTTCTCTGTGTATTCTTGGCTGTCCTGGAACTTGCTCTGTAAACCAGGCTGGCCTCACACTCACAGAGATCCACCTGCCTCTGCTGCCCAAGAGCTGGGATTAAAGGCATGTGCCACCACCACCCAGCTTAAAGCTGCTTTTTTTATCAGGGTGTTTTTATCATAGCAACAGGGCAGTAGCTGAGACCATGTAGGCCTGTTGTGTGAACAGAATGAAATACACACAAAACGTCCCCAGTGGGCAGAAACTTCAGTGAATAGACTCCCCCGACCCCAACCTGTTGGAACGTCCCCACACACTCCCAGCTTGCATTCCAATCAAGACAAAAATCATAGCTAGGATTGTTGCTCAGTCAGTCAAGCGCTTGCCTCAAAAGCTCGAGGACCCAGGAAAAAGGCTGGGCGTGGCAGGGCATGTATGTCATTTCAGAGATGGGAAATGGGGTAGTGGAGATAGGTGGATCCCTGGAAACGCCTAGGCCAGCTAGGCTTTGGTGTTTGCCTATGTGGTGAAGTCTCAGGCCAATTAGAGATTTCGCCTCAAACAAAAGGTAGAAGGTGCCCGAGGACCAACTCCCATGGTTGGTTGTCCTCTGACCTCCATATTTGTGCACCGTGTGCACCCCCCACCCCCAACACACACACACACACACACACACAAAACTAAGAGAATAAACCAGCCTGGGCTCTAAGGGAAGAAGAAGGGGAAGGGATGTCAAGTATCCAGGTTCCAAATACATAAAGAGATCATTTAATTCCCCTTCCCTCCTGCTGTCAACTGGGAGTTACGCAATTGAACTTCCCCAGGCCTCCTCTCCCTGCCCCGAGGCCCAGGTTCTGAGCTTGGAAGGACACAGAGCTGTCCCTAGTAGGGTTTTAATAGCTGACAGGTTCCACAGCAGCATGAACAGGAGGAGATTGCAACTGGGCTGAGAGTCACAGCCCCGAGGACACATGAGGCCCGACACCTCTCCTGCTCCCCCCTCTCCTGCCCCCCCTCCTGCCCCCCTC